CGTCGTCGTCGTCGTCGTCGTCGTGGTCGTCGTCGTCGTCGTCGTACTCGTATTAGTCGTAGTCGTATAGTAGTAGTAGGAAAACATAATAATTCCTGTTGATGTCGCAAGAGGAAGAGGAGGCCCCCGGAAATCGGAGATTGCTAATGTATCCCCTCGCGTGATGCTCGCGTCGCGACGCGAGGGGGTCCGGAAGGCTCGACCCTGGGCCGCCGGGCGGGACCACTTCAGGACCGTACGGGGGGCCTCGTCGGGCCATCTTGGGCCGACCTTGATTATGTTGCATCCTCGGGGGAACCTCGTCTGGCTCGTCGCGGCCCTATCCGCGTCGAATCCGTGTCGAATCCATGTCGGAATCGTCGGATCCTCGTCGAAGCCATGTCGAATCCGTGTCGAATCCGCGTTGAATCCACGCCACATCCGCGTCGAGCCCGCATCGAGCCCGCATCGGGCACAATAGTAGACACCAATTTGGGGACAGGCGAGGTCCACCGAAGATGCAACGTAACCTTGGGTCATCTTGGAGCCGTATTGGTGCTATATTGGCCCTGTCTCGGGAGCCGATCGGGGGCCTCTGGGGCAATTGAAAAACAATTTTCGGCCGTCGGGGGGCTTGGCGCCTCTTTGACCCTCTCGAAAGCTCCTGTTGACCGTCTTGAACCGCTTGAAGCCCAAATGAAGTGGGTTGCAATAGTATCCCCAAGCCCATTGGTGTTTGAAGAGGTTCGCTTGACGGGGAGCCCTCCGTTGTGCCATCTGGAAGACTCCCGAGAAGTATTGGATCCATGGTGGCGAGTATGGACACAACAATGGGCTTCAATGGAGTGAAGTCGTTACTACATAGAAAGCCCTTGCTTCATCGAGGCGTATCCCCATCAGGGCGCCTCAGGGCAGTCCCCCAGAACAGTCCTGGATCGGGGGAACGAGCGTTGAACCATCCATGCCATCGCCAGTCTGGATTCCGAGGCTTCCTCCCAGGGATATGCGGTGCCATACCTATACGACCACCCTGCGGGTGATAAAGATGCTGTTTGGGGGGAACCAACTGACTACACCTGCGATGATTGTGATGGTGACGATGCTGGTGATACGCTCGCGAGATTGTGACGATGCATCTGGACACCATCTGAACACCATCGGGACAACGGGACACCTCCTTATCACCCGAAGGGTGGTCGAGTCTCTCCCATTACCTGGACATCATCGGGACACCATCGGGACACGATCGGGACACCATCGGGACACCGTAGGGGCACCATCGGACACGATCGGGGCATCATCGGAGCACCATCGGGACACCATCGGGACAACAACGGGACACCATCCGGGCAACAGCATCGGGACACCATCGGGACACCATCGGGGCACCAGCTGGACACCATCGGGACAACAACATCGGGACACCATCCATCGAGACACGATCGGGACACCATCGAGACACGATCGGGACAGATTCTCTTTGTTCGGCCACCTTTGGCGGAACCAGTGAGATCCAAAATCGGAGACAAACCATCTGGACACCGTCGAGACACCATCGGGACACCAGGACACCATCGGAACACCCCTCCGCCACTGGCCAACAAGGGGAGGGCACAACATCCTGCGGCAACGGCGAGTTCATTCCGCTCGCCCGCCCACGCAGCTTCGCCTCGCCAGCCGCACGCCCGACACGAAACCAAAACCGATTTCCTGGTGGATGGCCTCCGTTTCACTTCGGTATGACCCCCCAACCTCCGACATGCGAAGAGAAGAGGAAATACAAGAGGAAATGTAAGAGGAAAGAGAAGAGAAGAGAAGAGAAGAGAAGAGAAGAGAAGAGAAGAGGAGGTTAGCAGGGAGGAGGAGAGCTGAACAGGCGAGGAAGTACACTCCCCGCATCATGTGCGCTGTCATCGCTGTCATGAAGCTGCCGTGTACACCAGTCAAGCACACACACAACCTCCGCCAAGCTCGTTCCGCGAGGGGCACCCGCGCAAACAAGCCGCCGGGCATCCATGGGGGGCACATCCGCGCAGGGCCGCCGGGGCCAGACGCGGTCTGGTCCAGGAGGCCGCGGGTGTGGTGATGCACTCCCGTCCACGAGGAGCCAGGCACCGAGGCGCAGGCAACCCGAATCACAAGGGCGCACGACGAGGATGCCAGGGCCCTGGGCGCCCATGTCCACGCTCTGCGAGCGGGGCGCGGCCAGCGAGAGTGGCCGGGGATGGGCCGAAGGGGCGAGGATGCAAGGGCACGCTTGGGAAGGCTGCCCGCCCTTCCATGCGCGTCGACGGCAGTCCCGTCCACGGGGGGCCAGGCACCAGGGCGAAGGAGCACCGCGGGAGAAGGGTCCAAACTGATCGGCCGACTTCGGACCTGGAAGGAGGTCTCCCAGGAGCCTCTGGTGACCTCCAGAAGCCTCGCCGCGACCTCCAAGGAGGTCTCCCAGGGGCCTCCGGTGACCTTCAGAGAAGCCTCGGGGCAGGCCGTGCCGCGCTGGCGAGGGCCCCCCAGAGGCGGGGCCTCCCGCCCTCCCTCCCCCGCCCTCCCTCTCGTGACCTTGGTCCTTGGTCCTCGTCCCACTCATCCCTCCTCTCCCTCGTCCACATCCTCTCCTCTTGCTGGCCAGCATCTCTCTCCTCCTCCTGCCCCCTCCGTCTCATCCTCCGCCTTCTCCTCCTCCTCCTCCTCCTCCTCCTCCTCCTCCTCCTCCTGTCCGTCATCCTCATCGTCCTCCTCCTCCTCATCCTCGCCGCCACCGTGCTCCTCCGCCTACTCCTCGTCAAGCGCTACTCCTCCTGCTCATCCCTTCTGCTCGCGGTCAACGGGAGGCAAGCGAGGGCGTGTTGCCTTCGGCACACAAGTTCGCGCAGAGCTCCACCTGTTCGACCTCCGTCACAAATCTGATGGGAGGGGGTGGGACGGGCGTCAGGGCGTAACCGAGGAAAAAGGACCATGCACATACCCTAGCCATGGCCAGGCCCAACCTGGGCCTGGGAGCGGTGCATTAGTACGCCCTCCTGGCATGGGAGAACACACAGCCCGATTGTCAACGCACACATCCCATGTTCTGCACGTATGACACCCACGCAGGGGGACGTAGGAGGCTCCGAACCTTTTGTTCCCGCACTGAGCGCTGCAAGGTTGAGGCCACGATATCGGATGTAAGACTCAAGCGAGGATCGCTGCTGCGTGGGTGATACTACAACAACTCGCTCGTCGTCGCCGAGCACATGTTATTCCGCGACCTCCGTGCCATGTGTATCCTCGTTGTGATGATGGCGATCATACCCCCACTCTAAAACATCGGATCGCAGTTCCCTTCCAAAAGCTCATCCGGCTTAGATTGGCCACTTGATATTGCCACTTCTTTGGCAAATGGATCGTGAATGCCCTTGGGCCATTTGTCTCGTCCTCTCCGGCTCTGTCTCCGGGTTTATGTCTACTGGGGGTGGGGGGGGCGCTCCAAAAAAGCCACCTGGGAATGCCTCTCAGCCTCCTGGCCAATCTCGGCTGTCCCGGGATTCCAGTTCGGCTATAGGTCGACGAGCGCGGTCCACTACTCGCAAAGTAACTACTCGCAAATGGCCTGGATCCCCCGCGGGGGATCTACGATACATTCCATTGAAGCAGACAGGTGCTTTTCGGACGTTTGCGAGTAGGCACTTTGCGAGTAGTGGAACGCGCTCGGCGAATAGGGACGCCGCTGCACGACCAGGAGAGCCCCACGGGGAGGTCGAGGGTGGCCCCGAGAAGCGCGAAGATGGCCCGAGATGGCCCCAAGGTGTCTCCAAAAGGGGCCACGAGGGCCCCAGGGCGCCCGCGAGAGGCAACAACTGCGTCAGTGTATGTTTGGCTGTTCCATGTTCCTCCCAAGATGCTGCAATGAAGTTCCAAGGGGCCCCCAGAGCGCCCGAGATTGACCAAGACAGCGCGAAGGTGGCTCCCGAGGCCCCAGGCGGCCGCAGAGACCGCCCAAGATAGTCCGACGAGGCGCCAGGATGCCCTCAGGTTTGGCCCCAGAGGCCCCGAGGCAACCCCGAGATCGTCCAAGATGGTCCGAAGTTGGCCCCAGAGGTCCCAAGATGCCCCCGAGATGGCCCCCAGATGGCTGCACAACCTGCCCCGATGTAGCCCCATCAGAGCTCTGCCTGGGAGGCGCCGTGGCAGAAAATGCAGCACTTCAGAGAACCACCATCGAAGAACAACAAGCCGTCAAAAACGCGGATGCGCAGCGCGCCGGATGCACGTGGCACTGGCCCGGAGCCAAGCAGTGGCGACGGAGGGTGGGATGCTGCTGCTGCTGCACATGCCGAAAGCATCCAAGGACCCCCTGACGGCGCCTCCGGCGCCGCCCCTGGCGCGCTCCGCGCGCCATGGAGGGGGGCCCAGCGCGGATTCAGGAAATCCGCGCGGGACTCCAAGTTTTTATGCTTATGTCATTGTTTGCTTCCCTATTGACGACCTCGCGCCAGGGAGGGGGGCCCAGCGCGGATCCGAAAAATTCCGCGCGGACCTCAGAGTTGTTATGCTTATGTCATTGCTTGCTTCCCTATTGACGACCTCGCGCCAGGGAGGGGGGCCCAGCGCGGATCCAGGAAATCCGCGCGGACCTCAGAGTTTTTATGCTTATGTCATTGCTTGTTTCCCTATTGGCGACCTCGTCAGAGAACCACCAAACCAGAGATCCGATGTCGTGATTTTTTCAATACGGGGTCCCCGGAAGTCTCGACCCATTCCCCAGGACCGGCTTGTCGTCCTGAGTCGTCCTCTGACGGTCCCGAGGCCTGGCCAGGGCCTGCAGAGGCCAAAAACGGCGAAAAACCTCCGCGTCTTGATCTTTTCAATGCGATAGGTCTCTGGGAGTCACCACCCCAGACCCCCGACGTCATGATTTTTTCATGACGTCGACCCCCCGCGGACTGGACCCATTCCCAGGCACCGGTTTTTCGTCCTGAGCCGTTTCCTGACGGTCCCGAGGGCCGGTGAGGGCCCCCAGAATCCAAACATCATGGAGCACCTCCCGCCGTGATTTTTGTTGCATTACTCGAGGGGGTCCGGGACTGGAGGGCGCCTCGCGCCGCCCGCCCGTGGGCCGCTCCCGGGGAGGAGCCTCTTCGGGAGCCTGTTTTTTTTTTTTGATTCAGGCAAGTTTACTTGCATGGCGTTCGCCCCCCCCCCCCCCCCTCGCCCCTCTTCAAGCGAATACTAGCGTGCAAGTGCCTTTCGACTTGCGTGATTTCCGCGCCCCCCGAACGTGCAAGTCGTTTGCGGCTTGCTTCAGGCCCAGCCCCCCCCCCTCTGTCCATGCAAGTAAACTTGCCAGAGTCTAAAAACAAAAAAAAACAGGCTCCTCTTCGGGCGCCTGGGGCCGCCGGGAGGAGGCCGAAAGGGCCGGCGCGCGGGCCGCCGCCGCGCGCACAGGGGGGGCCAGAGGGGCAGCGACAGGGGGGGGGGGCCCCGGGGGCGGGCCTGGAGTGGGGCACGTCCCTCTCCAGGGGGAATGCTCAAGAGATGTGGAAAAAAATGGTCTGGGGACCATGCTTGGGATTTGTGGGAAAAAATATCTGGGGAGTGCTCGAGAAATGTGAAAAAAATAGTCTGGGGGCCATGTTTGGGGAATATCGTTGTGTCATCTGTTGGTGCACGTGTTTTGCTATGTTTGATTTGCCGTCCAAGTTCCCCCCGTAGGAGGACAGGCCCGCCTTAAGGCTGGCATAAAGGGGGGGGGGGGGCATCGACCTGGAATGGGCGATACATCGCCGATTGATCTGGAAGAAGACAGAACGGCATGAACATAAACTTCCGGGCGCTCCGCGCGGTTTTCTTGGATCTGCCCTGCACCCCCCTCCCTGGCGCGCGGAGCGCGCCAGGGGCGGCGCCGGATGCGCCGCTGGGGGGGCTAATGCGGATCCAAGACATGCGCGCGAAGCGCAAAACGTTTATGTTTATGGCGTTTTTTTCTTCTCCAAAGATCAGCGACAGGCCCCCGGTAGCCAAACGCTCCTGGGCGAAGTAGGGCTATCGGGCCCCCATCGGCGATCAGTGGGCGATTAGGGGTCGAAGCGTCCCCCCCTTTGCCTATCCCCTCCCATCGTTGCCCCTGACGTCCGATGGGGGGAGAGCTACACGCCTCAGCGCGTTGCCGGGATAGATGACGTCTTCCTCCACCAGGCCATCCATCTGCTGCATGCGCAGCGAACTCTTCTGCATCTTTGGGGGCGCGGGGAGGAGGGAAAAGAAGGGGAGGAGGAGCCGGAGCCTTCTTCTTCCCTCGTCTCTCCTCTCTCCTGCCTCTCCCCTTCCAGCTCGTGCCTGGCCCCTCCTTCTTCCTCGCAACTCCCTCGCCTCCAAAACCCTGGGGGATACTGGAGGAGCCGACGGAAGAGGCGGAGAAGAATGACGACGACGCAGAACAGGCAGACACGGAAGAAGAAAATGGAGAGGAGGAAAGGCGGACACATGTTCGGCGGTTCCTTGCGGGCTTCGGGGTCTGGAACGTTTCTTCTGACTGTGCCTCGTCGAAAGGCTTCTTTTGGAAGTCCGAAATGGGTACGGAAACCTGACAGAGCCACGAACCCCGAACTGACAGCATTGGTGGGCATGATTCGCGAGAAAGGACAAGGGGAAGGACCCCTCGGAAGGTCCACTCGACCGGATCACCATCACCCCGGATTGAACTATTGCCGCTCCATGGCATGAACGTGGCCACTGGACGACGAAAATGAATGAAGGACCTCATAGAACCTCAATCCTCGAACATCCGACCTCGAGCCGAGCATCGAACCTCAAACGTCGAAGCTCCATCCTGAATCCTCAAACCAAGAGAACCACCAGGTGAGCAGGAGCGAAAAGAGCACGGGATTTCATGTCGAGAACGACGACGACGACGGATAGGAGGATGATGACCGTCGCGGCGGCGTCGGCGGCGGCGGCGGCGACGACGACAAAGACGGCGACGACGGTTGCAACGGCGGTGACGACGACGACGACGACGACGACGACGACGACGACGACGACGACGACGACGACGGACGGTGAAGAAGACGACGAGAATGTCCTTGGTGTCCAAACGGCGACCAGAAGCCGTCTGGAGGGCTTCTCGGGCTTGTCTTGGAGCTCTGTAGGGGGCTTTCAAGGGCGATCCTCAGCACGCTAACATGCGAGCCACCTGCATTTGTCGGGCACGTGTTTCCAAGGGTAAGCCTCGACAACCCTTCCAGGGGGTCCGGTGGGGGGGTCCCTTTCTCCAGCCGTCTCGGGGCCCTCTCGGGGCATCTTGAGGCCCTCTCGGGCCATCTTGGGGGGGCTTGGGCTGTCTTGGGGCCCTCTCGGGGCCCTCTTGGGCTCTCTTGGGGGCCACCCGTGACCCTCTTGGGACTCTCCTGGGGAGCTCTGCGGGCCCTGGTGGTGCCTCTCTTGGGCCACCCTGAGGCTCTCTCTTCGGCCATCTTGGGGCCCTCTGCAGGACGAACGAACATGCTAAGAATGCACGCTACACCTTAGGCGATGCTTAAGAAAACTCAAATTTTCGGCCAGAGTCTCGATTATTCTTAATGTGTCAATGTAAATCCTAAGATTTGAATAGAAATTCTGGGTTTTTATTCACGTTCTGAGACTATGAATTTCTTAACCCATGATTTGTTAAGCATTTCGCAGGGTGCATCCTGAGGGAATGGGACGATTCTGGCCCCTTTTGGGGTGCTCTTGGGGGTGCCCGACGGCGTCTTGGGGACCTCTGGGGCCGTCTCGAGGCTATCTCGGACCCTCTTGAAACGCTCTTTGGTCGTCTCTGTTTGCTGTTCTCTTTCTGCTCTGCCCTTCCACGTGCATTATTCGGTATCCTTTCGGCGCGGTCGGAGACCGCCGTAGCCCGAGGCTGCATGCACTGCACTACGCGAGCGTCGTGCACTTCTGGCGCGACGGGCAAGTCCAGGCGAAATGGTCTGCGCCCTTCGCACTCCTGGGCGTCAAGAGCGCGTCGCTTGGATAAATTTGCAAGGAGGTTCCAGGAGAGATCGCGATTCTGAATCTTGGATGCTCATTGGAGCCGCTTGCTCCCCTTGTGCGTCCAAGTTGCGTCGAACGTCCGTCGATCCGAGACGACGCTGAGTCGGCCCCGAGTCGAACCTGAGTTCAACTTGAATCGAACTGCGGTCGAACTAGGAGTCGAACGAATCCGTTAGGTGGGCCACAGGAAGGTCCCCGACACGAGCATCGAATGAAGTAGTCGAGCGAAAGCGCGACTCCTCAATACCTTGCGAGGAGGTATCAGGCGGGAGCCGTTGCTGTGCTAGTCCAGAAGCCAACGAGGCAGAATGATCATCAGGTGCGAACCACGGGGGGACACTTCGATTGAGAAACGCACTGGGCACCGCTGAAGGGGATCTACAATCATCATCTAGAGGCCCAGCCGGTCTCCTAGATGATAGGGTCCGAGCAGATGAGGTCGAAGAATCGGCAATGCATCGTCAATGCTCGCCGATGTATCGGCGATGCATCGGCAATGCATTGGCGACGTCGGCGACGCGTCCGCGACGTCGGCATCGGGAAGATCGACCTCCACATCGAGCCGCATCGTCCATGCATCGGCGATGCGGCGCGGTCCTCTGACTCCATCTTACTCGGACCCCATCTAGGAGGCCCAGATCATCCTTCAGAAGTGGGATTTGAACAGAACACCAAACACCACAAAAACTCGCGATCCTCGAATCTCGAACGACGACGACGCCGTCGACGCCGCCACCGCCGACGACGCCGGTGTCCTCCGACAGCCGCTCGTCCTCGGAGACCTCGATGTCCCCCTCGAAGTCGCTGATCTCCTGCTTCATCCCCAGCCGGTGTCTCAGGCCAGGGAGCGCACGGCGGACCTGGCGCGCACTCCTCCTCCACTACGGCGGGCTCGTGCCGTGACGACCCCAGCGTCGGTCTGTGACACCATGTGGATTGTTCAACCTTCAACGATCGACGGCGTTTCGATCGCCAGGCCGCTCCATATAAGGGAGCGGACTCTATACACCGACGTTTTCTACGGCCCCGCACGGAAATTCGCACAAGAAAGCGGATCCTGGTGTATACGGGATCCTGGTGTGTGTGTATATATATGTATGTGTGTGTGTGTGTCTGTGTGTGTTTCGTTGTTTCCACGGGAAAACGGGGAAAATTGCATACCGCAGGTCGGCGGCGATTCGATCGCCAGACCGCTCCATACTGGACGATTCTGGCCCACCGATGGCGCTCAACCTTGAACGCCGGCCCTGGGGTCGCATCCGCGTCGACCGGCCCGAACCTGCCGCGGACTCGGGGGCGCAAGGAGGCCAGCCCCGAGACACCCTGCGCTCCGCTCTTGTGCTCGTCAATCCAAAACCCGGTCAGTCAGGCTTGGCGGAATACTGCACGAGCCTCTGCAAGATCCTGCGCGCTGACCCGGGTCAGTGCACCCCTGCTTCTGTAGGATCCTGCAAGAGAAGGCGCTCTGGTTGACCAACGTTTGCATGGACCCACGTCTTAAGGCTCCCGAAGGATGCGGCGCGAGGTCGATACAGGCCTCCTGCGCATACTGTCCTCTGATGCTTCAACGAACGACTGTGCATTGATAGGCACACGCGGTCAGTGCCCCGATAGCCACGGGGGGGGGGTCGACACTGGCCCGGCGGGCATGCTACTCTGTGATTGCTAAGTAGGGAACCGAACTCTATACACTGACGCCTTTGCCTGGCCTCACACTGAATCTCGCACAGGGAAGCGGATCCTGGTGTTTACGGGATCCTGGTTTATACATTCTTCGTTGTTTCCCCCGGAAAACGGGGAAAATGTATACACGACACCACCCCGACGTCGTCCCCGACCCTCAAAAAAGTCCTGGGATTGAAAAGCCGCCCGCCACTGGAAATGTATATGCTCCGGTTTCCGACTAAGGAAGGGCAGCTGTGCAGAATGAATGAAAATTATGTTGGGAAAACGGGCAGGCCCAGCCTCGGGAGGGGGGTGGATCCAAATTCCTGCTCCAGCGAACGAGGACACGCCTGTGGCAATGGCAGGTCGTCTGCTCCAGCACCCGTGCAAGCGGCCCGCCATCTCACCCGCAGCTTGTCGGCAAAATTCATATATGGTGAAACTCGCGGCGAGCGCAAAGGCATGGGGAACTCGACCGCGCACTCTAATCCGTTCTGAGGGTCGCGGAACAGTGGCGGCGCCAGGGACGATCACGACACAAGCAACGGGGACGATATGATGTTGACGACGACGATGGTGATGGTGATGGTGACAAGGTTGATGGTATTGATCATGGTTTTGGCAAACATAACTCTGGGGATGAGGATGGCGATGGAACTGATGATGATGATGATGACTAACATGATGATGGTGGTGCTGGTGATGCTGGTGGCGATGATGACAGTAATGATGGCGATGATGAGCATGATGATGGTAGTGATGGCCTTGTTGCTGCTGGTGATGTCAATGATGATGATGCTGGTGATGGTGGTGTTGGTGATGAGTACGCTGATGATGCACAGGGTGTTGATCATGGTGACGATGATGATGATACTTATGTTGATGCAAACGATGATGGTAATGAAGATGTTGGTGATGGTTATGATGATGATGATGATGATGATGATGATGGTGGTGGTGATGCTGACGGTAAGGACGATGACCGAAGATGCTGATGATGGTGATTGTTGGTGGCGTGCTTCTTCCACAGCGCGGTGCCGCGCCAGGGTCACAAAGACAGCCCTGCAGCAGTCTGAACGGTTGCAGCCGTGGGTTGCCTGAAAAGTATGCCAGGCAGCCTGGAGGAGGGGCGGCAGGAAAGAGGTAAAACGAGGGGGAAGAAAGGCGAGGGGGGAGGAAGAAACGACACGATGCCGCCGCGAAACGGACAAAAACAAATGACGTGAAACAGACCAACATACAGCCCACGCGTAGCTATGGGACCACCCTTCGGACGACCCAGAGTTTGGAGATGATAATGATGATGATGGTGATGAAAATGATGGTGATGATGCTGATGCTGATGATGATGGTGATGATGATGATGGTGATCCTACTCTCCCAGGGTGAGTCGAGGCCGACGCGCCAACGCCCACCGAACTGCTGCACCCTACGCAAATGCAAGCACACCCCAAACTGCTTCCGAGCAGCGGCGGAGCGCATCGCACACGCGCAATCCCACCTCTGCATTCCGATGGGCCACAGCGCTTCGATGCAGTCCACTGCCTCCTGGCCGCCGCCGCCATCGCTTCCATGTCTTCGTACTCGATAAAGAACTGGCCTTTACCAGCGGGCGGAGGGGTGTCGGACCCCTCGCCGTCGGAGTCCTCTCCCCCGTCGTAACAACCGAGGTCCTTCCGCGCGCCGAAGTACTAATCCTCGTCGCTCCGCTTGGCCTCCTGTCTGTCGAACCCGTCGGTGCCCACGTGCATGAGTTGCGCCCGCCGCCGCACGAACGGCCGCACATGCACACGCGGCCGCTCGAGCAGCCGCGGGCTGGCACACCCAACTCTAGTACTCCTTGTGCTCGCCCCTCTCAGCCCCGATGCAGTCGGGCTCCCGCTGCTCCGCATGTTCCTCGCACGCGAGCCGATGTACACCTCCTCGGCATCCCCCGCGCTGGCGGCCCCCATCTCGGCGATGAGGCCGCTGGGGAACGCAAAACCTTCCGCTTCGCACATGGAGTTTCCTCGAGGTCGTCCCCATCGGTGCCGCTCGCCAGGCCCTGCTCCATGATGTACGGCGCGGCACCCGAGCGCAGCGGTGTGCGCGCTCCTGCGTGCCATCCACGGCCCAGCTCCGCCACGGCCACGACGCAGGGCGCGGCACCCGAGCGCAGCGGCGTGCCCCCGATGAAGAGCGCTGCGGGGTGGGCCGCCAGGTACCCGGCACTCGGCGACCACGGCGTTGCTCGTGCAGGTCGTGGCGTCCTCCAGGCCGCTGGCTGGCGGAGGTAGCACCTCGCTTTCCTCGTCCTTGTACTCCTCGTACTCGTTCTCCTCGTACTCGATGCCCTTGGCGACGACGGTCGCGGGAATGAAGGGATTTGCACCCCCCGCAGGGCGGTCCTCTGCCGTGGGGCCGTGCCCGAACCCGCGCCCGCGCTTGCCAGCAGGGCCTCCTTCACCGAGGCTGCACCTCTGGGCTCGGGCGGGATGGTAGCCGACCCAGGGGGCGGGGCATGCCTGCACCAGTTGCCGCTGGCACGGGTCCCCTCCGCCTCCCCCACGTCCAGGCCAACCAGCTCCGCTGCGCGGATGGCGTCCGCCAGGGAGGGCGCGTGGGCCCCCAGGGCGTCGCAGAGGTCCCAGTGCGCCGCCAGCGCCGCCCTGAACGCCTTGCATCTCGCCGCCAGCGCCGCGCTGCGCGACAGGCCTCGCTCGGCACGCCTCTGCCGTGATCTGCTCCCCGACCAGGCCGCGCCAAGTGGGTACATGCCGCTGGCCGCACGCAGGCGAGCGCGCGCGCGTGCGGAGGGCGCCCGCGAGCCAGGTTCGCTTGAGCCCAAATGGCTACGGATGATGATGGTGATGGTGATGATGATGCGGATGAGGATGAGGATGCTGATGGTGATGGTGATGGTGATGGTGATGGTGATGATGATGATGATGGTGATGATGATGATGATGGTGATGGTGATGATGATGATGATGATGGTGATGATGATGATGATGCGGATGATGGTGATGATGATGGTGATGATGATGATAATTATGGTCATGATAATGATGACGATGATGATGCTGATGGTGACGATGATGATGATGATGATGATGATGATGATGCGGATGATGGTGATGATGATGGTGATGATGATGATGATAATTATGGTCCTCCTGATGATGACGATGATGATGCTGATGGTGATGGTGATGGTGATGCTGATGCTGATGCTGATGATGATGGTGATGGTGATGGTGATGATGATGATGATGATGATGATGATGATGATGATGATGATGATGATGATGATGATGATGATGATGATGATGATGATGATGATGATGATGGAGTGGCAGTGTGCAGAAATCTGACGAGGGCGGCTCATGTCAGCACCCCATGTTGAAACGGGCCGCCCCCCTCCGTGCATCGGGAGACTCTCCATGGGGGGGGATCCCATGGGGGGGCAGGAGGGGATCCCCCCCATGGGATCCCCTCCTGCCCCCCCCATGGGATCCCCTCCAGGGGATCCTGTGGGATCCCCCCCCTGGAATCCTATATCCCCCCACGGGATCCCCCCCCAAGAAGAGTCTCCCTCCGTGCAGCTCTGTCCCATCTTCTGGCACATCGGTGGATCGGTCCATCAAGAGGCCTCCAGCGAGAGCCCCGACTCTCTCCGTCCTCCATCCTGACTACCTACCAGACCACCCCAACCCAACCCGAAGACCCGAACTTCGGGCTGGGGGGGGTATGGGTTCCATACGTGTTTTTTCGATGTTCCCCAACCCCCCCCCACTGGAAATGGAGGGCAAATTGAGGCCTTCGGGTTGGGTTGGGGTGGTTTGGTAGGTGGTGACATCCGTGTAGACGTTTCGCCGTGTCTCACTGCTGGCAAGTTTGTCGCATCCAGAAGTCTTAAATGCGCGGCGCTCTGGCGAGAACCACTCTCTGAAAGCGTTTTTTTTTTACCACGCTCTGAAAGCGTACTCCAGATTTTGTAATAAAGGGAGGGGGGTCTCATTTCGGGGGGGTCTCTTCCAGGCTATCTTGGAGGGCCAGGGCGGGTTCTCCCACGGGGGGGGGTCTGAAATGGCTTGTCTTGGAGGGTCCAGACCCCCTCCCTTTTATTACGAAATCTGGAGTACTGGCCTCCGTCCGTGTATCTGAACTGCTGAACAGCTTAAGCTGCAGGATCGTACTTTCACCAGCTCTCGGGGCGTAGGTAGTTTAGGGAGTTCACTCTTCAGGAGAGCACATAGTTGAATTGATAAATCGGACCGGCGATCGAAATGAATCGGATCGGCGGAAATCGACAGCCGAGTCGGGAGACGTCGAATCGGTGGAAATCGACAGGCTCGCAGGCCTACAATGAGAAATCGGAATCCGAAGTCGAATCGAATCGGAATCGGCAGCCATCAAAATCGGATCGAGTCGAGTCGGAGGAATCGAAATGAGCCCTGGCGGATAATTTCGGGGGGTCCTTCTTCCAGCCTCCTTCTGCCCCCCCAGGGCGCAGTTTACCTCCCCTGACTCCCCCTCCCGAGGTCTGGAAGGGCCTGGTCGCGAGGGGTTAGAGAAAGCCCAGGATGGCTCAAGATTGCCCCAGGAATCCCGAGGAAGCCTTAGAAATCCTTGGGGATCCTTGCGAATCCTTGGGAATCTTTAGGAATCCCTCGGATTCCACAATAGCGCCCCAGATGGCCCAAGAGTAAAGCTATACCACCCGTCTGCACGCCCTCTCGCTTCCAGTGGGCTTCTCTGACACCCTCCACATCGCGGCAAGACATCGCCCCAAGAGAGCTCCGAGTCGGTGGCACGGCAGAACTGCAGCACTGACCCACCCCAAGAGCGCCCGCAAGCGCACCAGGAGTGCCCCGAAACGGCTCCCAGAGGAAACGCTTCGGGCCCTGCCGGGGGGGGGGACTGTTTATCTCATCGAAGGAAGGCCCCCAGGATTACCACAAGAGGGCCCCCTAAGCAAATAAGCTGGCAAGAGGCTCCCGCACGAGGAGTCTGCGAAAGCATCCATTGCTGAATCCTAATCGGGCCTGCTCAGGCTGAGCACTATCTTCCGTTTGACGGTTACCCCCTTTGTTCCGCTGCGTGCGTGCTCCCACACGTCCTTGATCAAAGAAGCTCGCCTGCGCATCGTTTCTGAATAGGCTGGTGTGAGTACAGTCGGCCCGTCTCATAAGGACGCACCATGAGGATGTACGGGCCATGGACGCCCATCTCGACGCCTCTCCAGCGGGGCGCGGTCAACGAAAGTGACCAAGGATGGGCCGGGGAGGGAAGGATGCAAGGGTACCCTTCTGATGGGCAAAGTTTCCACCACCACTACCATACGTAGGACGGAGAAGAAGGGAGGCTGAGGAGATCCTCCTCATCCTCCTCCTCCTCCTTCCTCTTCTCTCTTCTACTTATGGTAGTGGTGGTGGAAGATGGGCCCATCACCTTCGGAAGGTTGCCCATCCTTACCGTGCGGGTCTACTGTCCATCATCGGGCGACTCCGACGTAGGACCCAGGGGGGGGGGTATCCGGAAGGACAGAGCTTCATGGGCGCGCCGAGGGGCCAGGGGGTCCCGCCGAACCGGAGCAGAGAAAGAAATCCCCAGCGAGGGGTTCGAGCCCGGGGGCTGCAGCGGAGGCCAGTCCACAAGGAACCTTCCGCGAGAAGCCCAACCTTACCGGCCTGGAACATATCCCTATCCCTGTGCTGGGCATCGCCCCATCACGATGCCAATCTTCGGGATTCCGTCAGGTTTTGAGGGCGCATCCCTAAGATTGTCATCGCCTTTCGGCGTGTCAGTCTTAGGGATAGGGATCAGTTCGAGGCTGGTGACAACCCTGAGACCCCAGGACGTCCACTGAATCTTGGTGTGTGAGCGTCGCGCTTTCCACCGCAAAACCAGCGAAGCCCAAGTAACCCAGGGCACCCTGGACCTGCTGTCGCTCGGACGTCCATTTCCCGTGCATGTTTCGGTTTCGTGCTGGCTTTTTTTTGCTCGATGGTCCAGGATGGTCCTCGATGCTTCTTGCCAAGAAAAAACGAACACTTCCGAGCGATGCCAAGAGGAGGAAAGCAGGATGTTTCTTGGCACGGGTCTCCACTGTACCCCTGCCTGAGATTCCGGAAGGGGAACGAACTCTCAGCCGCGGGGATGCTGGCGCGCGGGGTCCCACCTCCCCCAGCGCAACCGGAGGAGAATGCGAGAGCCCAGATTGTCGATGCAAGGCAGCAGCACTCTGAATGGTAGTTGCACTAGTAGCTGCACTAGTGCTAATTGCACTCCACTGTTGCCTGAAATCCAGATTAAATCATGCGTCCTTACTGTTTCCCTCTCCCTACTCGCGGTTATGTTCTGCTTCCGTACCCGCAAATAGCGATCGCAGAATGCTTCCTTATTCCCAAGTAACGAATATTTACTGTTTCCATGAACTCCTCAACCGCGATTCGAAATTACGTCCTTCGTCCTGATCGGCTATTCTTCACTATTCCATTTCATCGTGACTACAAACTGCTTCTTAGTCCAAAAGAACTCTTAGAATTCCGAATTCGCAATTCCAGACTGTTTCCAGAACTCCTGAATCTCGATTAGATGCCGTGCCCTTATTCGTCAGTTGCGATTCTGCACTGCGTTCTTATTCACAAACCGCAAATCTGAGCACGTTCTATTTTTTATGCTGGGGGTATACTGGGGGGCACTGTACAACAAATGGTGAAACGCTACTTGTTGCCCTCTAATACTTGTTGCACTGCAGGACAAGGTGCACTCTAGGAGCAGCTGCGCGCTAGCACATGATTGTGCCAATTGTTCTCGAGTGCTAGGTGCACTCTACTCGGAGGGGTTCAGGGGGTTCCGGGGCAATGCGCGCGCGCGCGGAAGAAGGCAAAACAACCATTCGTCGCCAGGGGTCCCGTGTTTCATGGGTCGCCGCGAAGGTGGACCCCCCGCGGAAGGAAGAAAAGAAATCTGGCCAGGGGGGTGGGGGGTTCAGGCATGCCTCGTTGGGGCGACGTGAACAAGCAGCGTCAAGAAACCACAAGGAAGTCCCAAACGAAGTGCCCAGGACAACAGAATTACGGACACGTCAGGTGCTGCGACAGAGAGGAAGGCTTGGGAGAAGAAAGGGATGGAGGAGGCCCGGCGAGTGAGGGAAGGAGGAGGGAGGAGAAACGGCACCCCTCCCCTCCCCTCCATCCCTCCCTGGAGGCCTCCCAGGCTGGGCCCCAGCAGACGGGGTCCAGGGACCGCTCTGCATCGGCGATGCACCGGCGACGGCGGGATGGAGAAGACAGGGCTCCATATCGCGCCGCAGTGGGCCCCTCGGATGTCTGGGACTGCCAAGTCTACTCTGGCCGCACCTCCTGGGTCGGACTCCTCCTCCTCCTCCTCCTCCTCCTCCTCCTCCTCCTCCTCCTCCCCTCCTCCTCCTCCCTCCTCCTCCTCCCTCCTCCCTCCCCTCCTCCTCCCCCGCCTCCCTCCTCCCTCCTCCTCCTCCCTCCTCCTCCTCCTCCTCTCCTCCTCCTCCTCCTCCTCCTCCTCCTCCTCTCCTCCTCCTCCTTCTTCTCTCCTCCTCCTCCTCCTCTTCCTTCTCCTCCTCCTCCTTCTCCTCCTCCTCCGAGAGGGGGGGGGAATCGGTAACGTGCGGGGAGGAGGAGGAGGAGGAGGAGGAAAAGAAGGAGGAGCCCCACGAGGCGCCTGCGCGTCGAGGGAGGAGTCCCGAACCCTTCCTCCTCCTCCTCCTCTCCTCCTCCCTCCTCCTCCTCCTCCTCCTTCTCCTCCTCCTCCTCCTCCTTCTCCTCCTCCTCCTCCTCCTCCTCATCATCATCCTCCTCCTCCTCCGGGGGCAGCGTTCTCGCCC